TTTGTCCTGGCCATTTTTTTAGTTCGTTTGTGATGAGTGAAACAGAAATCTGCTGTATTTGTGGAGACAGTTTAGGGGCAGAGAATTCTTTTAGCGTATTAACTCAGAAAGGATGCGAAACAATAAATGCAGTTAACAGTTGTCTTGGTGTTAAGCCAGGTCAAAAAGTACACCGAAAATGTCGCGTTGATCTTGTACGACCAAAAAAGTCAACATGTACCACTCAGCAAAGWCATGTACAGAATGTTGCTAAACGCAGGTCATCAGTAGAGACATTTAATTCCAAAGAACACTGCTTTTTTTGTGGCAAGGCCTCGAAGTATGATGGAAAGACAAAAGTGATAGATGTGATACGCGTGCGAACAATAGAATTCCAAGAAACTATCTCAAGATTGTGCAAAGAAAGGAATGACGACTGGGCACAGACTGTACTTGGACGTTTGGAATACCTTCAAGACCTCCACGCAGCAGATGCTATATATCACACCAGTTGTAGTAGCAACTTTCGAACGGGTAGAAATGTCCCTGTGCAGTACACTGACAACTTTGATGCCATGGCCCCAAAGAGGTGTAAGACCCAAGGAAGGAAAGCCGATACTGCAAAAAGTGCTGCTTTTCAGAAAKTAATACAATATCTAAGCGAAAATGAAGATGAGCAACTCACAGTTGCTGATTTGGTCAAGAAGATGGATGATTATCTTCAAGATTCTATTGAGGAAGCTTATAGTGTAGTATACATGAAGAGACGACTGGAAGAGCATTTTGGTGACAGATTACTTATCACCTCAACAAGAAAAAGACCTAATGWTATAACCTTTAGACAGACTGTGGCATCCATTGTGCACGAATTCTATGGACAACCGAAAAATGAGGATCCTCAAATAGAAAGATGTAAAATTGTAAAGGCTGCAGCTAACTTARTCAAGAGTGAAATTAAGTCTATTGATGCGTCAGGTGATAGCTACCCAACAAGTAATGACATGACATCTGTAGATGAAGCTTTAGAATATGTTCCAGAATTGGTGCAAATGTTTTTAAATACATTATTTTCTGGGAAAGATGTGCGCTTAAAAGTTGCCTCCATCGGGCAAGCAATAATGCAAGGTACACGCCCAAGAGCCATTGTTGCACCACTACAACTAGGACTTGGAGTTCAAATGCACCATCAGTTTGCTTCAAAGTTCCTCATTGACTCCTTAAACTCTCATGGATTTTGCTGTTCGTACAGCACCGTTCAGAAATATGAAAGAAGTGCAGCCGTCGCTCAAGGCACCGATATACCTGGATGGATTCCAGGGCGTTTCATTCAGTATGCCGCTGATAACGTAGATCACAACTCGAGAACCCTTGATGGAGAGGGGACGTTTCATGGCATGGGGATTGTGGCCACAATTACTCCAGGTACGAAAACCAAGACTTCAATTCCAAGACGAGAGGTA